GAGAGAGAGAGAGAGAGAGAGAGAGAGAGAGAGAGAGAGAGATGTCTCCTGGGTTGCCTAGCAGGCTTACTAACTCAAAAATAAATCGAGCCTTGCTTGCTTAGATATGACTCAGAACAAACACACACACAAACACACAATAGCTCAAGACCAGCAGGCTGCTAAAACAAACACTCAATAAATAGCCTTTCAAAACAAGTGTTATGGTGTCCCTGTAAAATATACCATGAAAATACAAAATTTTTGGGAAACTCTCATGATTTGAATGTGTGTCATGGTGTCATTAAAGTGCCATGGTATTACCACCACTAAACCATGGTATAACCACAGTACTATTTTCAAAGAAAAATACGCACAGATTTACAGCTGACTTATCTAGATGAGCATCTGATCTGCATATCACCATATAAGGCAAAGGCTTGCTAGAGATGCACATTACAGTGTATCGGTTATCGCTTAGCAGTTATCAGCCGATATTACAGATAAATTGGATATTTAATTGTGCATTTATTTTTACATTTTAAATATATTTGCCGTCATTTAACACTCACTAAGTTTCTTCCTTAAAAACACTAATAATTCCATACCTGTCAAATGTAATCTTTAACAAATCTCAAAATTTAAATGAAATAATATGGAATTTAGTTAAAATATTGGTAAAATATTGGTGGTAGTGCACAAATTTAATATTGGTGCATCCTAACCTTTATGCAGAAGTATAGTATTTTATCATGTTTTAATCTGATATAACACTAACAAACACCACATTTTACCATTTATGATTTGGAAATACTAGTACCATAGCAATACACTTATTGCTATATTGACCACAATAATGATTGGAATAACCTTTGAGTAACATGCAAACATCATTAAATATGAATACCATAGTACTATATATTAAAGTGCCATGATACCACTATCTAATACTGTATCACTTCACCTTGGTACTGCCATGGCATGATTTCTCTAGACATGTATCATGGTAATGCCATGTTTTTAATACAAGTACAATGGTAGTTTTCTGGTTTAATATACTGCATCATGGTATTCTTAAATACTATGCTATAAAATATGGTTGTCAAACAGTACTATGGTATTACAACCAGATACCTTCACTATATGGTGCCACTAAAATGTCTTTTGTAAGAGGAATATAATGTACACACACAGTTTTATTACTGATACATAAATTATCAGCACAGCCATAAGATGCAAAACATCAGATATCCTGCAGTAGTCTATGACAATACAATGCACCATGCGTTAAATAAGCATTACCAGTGTATCATGTCCAAAAAACCATGGTAATACCATCTTGTGCTACTTTTTTTGTTGTTGCTGGCACTCGATTACTCATATATATATATGCCATTTGATTAATCTAGATAGATAGATAGATAGATAGAAGACTTAGCTCAACCTAAACTCAACCTCACACCACTGAACAACACACACACATCTTTCTAACCTGTGTGTCCTCTCCACTGTCAGCAGGATGGTAGTTTTTGCCTGTTGCCCACCCGCTCTGAGTCTCGAGGTGGAGGTGAGCGTTGCTCTGCGGGGGGCTGGTGAAGCAGGGCCGGGGGGCCACAGCTCGGGTGGGCACCTGCGGGATGGGGAGGGCGCTGTGGATCGGCTTCGGCAGTCCAGACTTCATGTTAGTGACCACTAGGATAGCAGGCATCTTCCCCTGAACCCAGAACCAGTCCACTGTATCCTGCCACACACTGTAGCATCCAGCGTTCTTGAGATATTATTCCCAATTCAGTCCCTATTAGTCTTCAAAAAAGAAAGCGCGATCCACCAGTATGTTGACCAGTCCGACACGCTTTTCCAAAAGCAAATGTGAATCTGTTTAGCTCTTAAGGTTTTCCTGAAGTACGTAACCCAACATGGAAAATCCACGGCAGGAAAAATCACAGCATCATGGGAAGGGCAGGAATATAGAAGAGCAGCAAACGTATGACAGCAGTGAATGGTGCTCAGCTGGTGACTGCAGGGATTTGAATGCACTTGTCCATGATCTCTCTCTCTCTCTCTCTCTCTCTCTCTCTCTCTCTCGGTTTAAACTCTCAAGCAGGTGTGGCTTTAAGACAGCAGCAGTAACTAGTGGCTCCTGCTTGACACCAGTATATAAGCACTAGTTTTCTCACAGCTGTGTGGTGCACACTCCCATAAACACACACTCACACACCCCTCCCATCTTCAGAGAGGACGTCAGAACAAATGAGCAGCATGAAGCAGCAGAGGCTGGATATGATTAGCTGGTGTGTATGTGTGTGTTTTGTTGAGCATGGAAGGAACTATGCATGTCTTACATGTGCGAATACTGTAGATTAGAATTGACAGCTTGTGTGTGTGACTCTCTTTCTCTCTGCGTTGTGTGTGTGTGTGAGAGGGAGAGATGCAGTGTCAAATGAGGCGAAGGCTACTTGCAGGGATTAGTGCGTATCTCATATTTATCTGTTTTTATTCATTACTTCTTTCTCGTAGACTCATTAATCACTGCAGAGATCCACCTCTGTTTCTCTGTCTTTGTTTTTAATGCATTTTAGAATGATAAAGCAGTTTATTGAGACATGGTAGAGCATAAATCCAGCACATAAGAGGTTTTCATTTACATTTCTTTATTTAGCAGATGCTTTTATCCCAAGTGACTTAAATGTGAGTAATACAAGCACAAGTGATTAATCAGGGTAAAACCAAGGGCTGCCGTATCAAATGCCAACGCTATGAAATATATAAGCTAATATTTTTTTTAACTTTCTATTAATCAAAGAATACTGG